GCACGTGTCTGCAACCAACCGGCCAAAGTCCTTGTTTGTTCACGTGTAATCCAGTCGTCAGACTGCTTCGGGTGTTTGGAGCGTAGAAAATTCTTGTGTTCCTCTATATACGGATCCACCAAGGCGGAATTCTGTAGAACTGTGTAGTGTGCTTGACTGAGAGTATGCTCGTCCATACATATTATTTGATCCCCTCCTAGAGTGTCGTTTACATCCAGTCTGCCCTTATACCGTGATTCAGGAACACCAATCGGCTTAAGGTCAGGAATAAAGTCAATACAAAAATCAATGACCTCCTCATTTTCATGGCCCTTCGAGATGCTTCCTTCTGGCCTAGTACGGTTATGAACATATTTATTTAAGACTCCCATGAACCTTTCAAAGGGGAACATATTGTGTAGAAATACAGGACCCAAAACGTTAATTTGTTCGCGTAGGTGAACAAGGACGTGCGTCATGATGTTGAAGAAGGATGGTGGGAACACCAACTCGAAACTGACAAGACATTGCACCAAATCATTGTCTATCCTTTGTATGATTTCTGGATCAATTATCTTATGAGAGATTGCATTGAGGAATGCACATAGCTTCACAATGGCTAATAAAACGTTTTCCAGTAGAAGCCCCCTCAATGCAACCGGAAGCAGTTGCATCATAATCACGTGGCAATCATGAGACTTTAGGTTCTGGAACTGTGTCTCTACCATATTTATTATTCCCTTTATATTCGACGAAAAGCCAGACGGTACCTCCATACTGAGCAGGCATTCAAAAAAGATTACCTTCTCTTCTTTGGTAAGAGCGTAGCTGGCATGACCCTGATGTATGTCATCTTTTTCGTGCATACGTTGCTGGTCCTCCTGTGCCTCTGGTGTATCTTTTGTCTTCCCATACACGCCCAAGAAGCCAAGCAGGGTCATGCAAAGATTCTTCGCCACGTGCATCACGTCGATTGCAGAGCGGACCTCTAGGTCTTTTCAATAGGGCAGGTCTCAAAATATAAATTTATTTTTCCACATGGGTGAGTGTCCGTAAGTGTCCTTCGGAACAGGTTGTCCGCCAGGACTCTTTCCAAAGATTACCTTCAAATCCTTGACCATATCATGTACATCAGCACCAGTACGGTGGCGAGGCTTCGTCCGGTGATCCACCTCACCTTAGAAATGATTGCCTTTCTTTCTTACGGGATGCCTGCTTGGAAGAAATCGATGATGTCCCAGGTACACATTCTTCCTACAATTATCCAAATATATACTGTCGGTATCATCCAAATAGTGTGTGCATCCGCAGTATCCCTTGTTTGTCTGCCCTGAAAGGTTATTGAGAGCAGGCCAATCATTGATGGTCACGAACAACAACGGATTTAGGTCAAATTCTTCCTATTTGTGCTCATCCCACGCACGTACACCTTTTCCATTCCACAGCTGTAAGAGTTCTTCAACTAATGGCCTTAGGTACACATCAATGTCATTGCCGGGTTGCTTAGGGCCTTGGATGAGCACTGGCATCATAATGAATTTCCGCTTCATGCACAACCAAGGAGGAAGGTTATACAAACAGAGAGTCACAGGCCAGGTGCTATGGTTGCTCCTTTGCTCCCCAAAAGGATTAATGCCATCTGCGCTTAGACCAAACCATACGTTCCTTGCGTCACCTGCAAACTCCTCCATGTACTTTCTCTCAATTTTTCTCCACTGCGACCCGTCATCGGGTATTCTCAACTTTCCGTCTTTCTTACGATCTACTCTGTGCCATCGCATCGTCTTGGCAAGCTCTTTGTTTTGGAACAAACGTTTCAACCATGGTATTATAGGAGCATACCACATCACCTTGGCAGGAATCCTCTTCCTGGGGCGCTCGCCCTCGACATCACCAAGGTCATCGCAGCTGATCTTATAGCGCAATGCACCGCATACCGGGCATGCATTCAAATCCTCGTACTCACCACGGTAGAGGATGCAGTCATTAGGGCATGCATGTATCTTCTGCACCTCTAACCCTAGAGGGCAGACATCCTTCTTTGCTTCATACATACTCTCGGGCAATTCATTGTCCTTTGGAAGCATATTCTTTATCATTACCAGCAACTTTCCAAATCACTTGTCAGATACACCATTCTCTGCCTTCCATTGCAGTAATTCCAGTGTGGTGCCCAACTTTTTCTTGTCAGATTCGCAATTCGGGTACAGCAATTTCTTGTGATCCTCTTACATGCGCTGCAACTTCTTCTTCTCCTTTTCACTTGCGTAGTTTCTCTTTGCATCAGTAATGGCCCAACCTAGATCATCAACGGGCTCATCTGATGCCTCTTCTTCAACTTTTCCCACATTGTCGGCTCAACTTCTTGTCGCATTGCCGGCTCAGCTTCTTCCCCCATTGTTGTATCATCGTATTCAGGGAACCCATGGCCAAGATAGCTATCGTCGTCCTCTTCTTCTTCATTGTCTTCCATCATAACCCCTCTTTCTCCGTGCTTGGTCCAAACATTATAGTGGGGCATGAAACCGGACTCAAACATGTGGACGTGAATGGTTCTTGAGTTAGAGTAATTGTGATCATTCTTACAGCCAGCACATGGACAAGGCATAAAACCATCTGCCCACTTGTTTTCCTGAGCCGCAATCAGAAAAGCATGCACGCCAACTGGGGAGAGCATTGGTCATCGTACATCCATTGCCAGCTCATCTTCATTACGCACCACTGAATAGACCAAATTAGTACAAGTTCATACATAAAGTTCATACAACACTTAAAGGCAACATACAAATAACTCTCTAGCTAAAGCATTTAAATTCAACAACAAATACGATCAAGATCGCAACTAAGGTAACAATTGATCCTACAACATAATGATACCAAGCCTCACTATCAATGGCATATTTTTTAATCTTTCTAATCTTCAAGTGCATTTTCTCCATCTTGATCTTGTGATCATCGACGACATCGGCAACATGCAACTCCAATTCCATCTTCTCCCCCTCAATTCTTTTCATTTTTTCTTTCAAATACTCGTTTTCTCTTTCAACTAATTTTAACCTCTCGAAAATAGGGTCGGTTGGAATTTCCGGTTCAGATACCTCCTAGATAAAAATATCTATGTCAACTTGATGGGCATAATTTGTCATAAACACGAAATGCAACAAATAGTTTTGAAAGAGAATATACCACATCTGAATCATAACATGGACGAGAGCCGACGGGGACGAATATCAAAACCATGGCACTATGTATAACAAACAACATACAGGTAAGATAATTATACAAGTAACTATATATCTAAATCAGACAAACATGATTTTTTATATATAAAAATATAAGAACAAGAGGCTCACCACAAGGTGGTGCCGGCGACGGGTCGGTGCGGACGATCGACGGTGGTTAGGACGGAGACGGGAAGGCACTAAGTAAACCACACCTACATATGCAAACTAAGAATTATTTTGAGCTCAAATTGCATATAAATCAAATAAACTACCACATTTAATTCCTCCAAAATTACTAAAACCCACAAATTAATCACTATATAAAGCATTGCAAGAGCTAATCTAGCAATGAGAGATGAAAGGACAAAGTTGCTAACCTTTGTGATCACTTGAATGGATGGGGGCCTTCAAATCTTGAAAAAATTTGGGCAAAATGTGTGATGAGCTCGAGGGAAGAGGGGAATAACAGAGAGGAGAGGGGAAAGGGGAAGAACAGAGCGAGCTCGATCGCGGGTGGACGAAGGGTATATGTAGGGTGACCTTTACTACCGGTTCGTGGCACGAACCGGTACTAAAGGTGCTGGAGGGGCCCTAGTCTGACAACATCCTGCCACCACTCTCTTTAGTACCGGTTCGTGGCACGAACCGGTGCTAAAGGTTCGCTATGAACCGGTACTACTGAGAGCGCCCGCCTAGCCGTTGGAACCGGCACTAATGGTCACATTAGTGCCGCCTCAAATACAAACCGGGACTAATAAGCTGAACATTAGACCCTTTTTCTACCAGTGGTAATTTTGTTCATGACACTCTCAACGGTTGTTTCTTAGCACAGTGTCGTACATAAAATTTTATGGGCCACCTTATTTAGCACGGAAAGAGAGAGTAATATACACTCCCTCCGTTTTTATTTACTCTGCATATTAGGTTTGATCAAAGTCAAACTTTATAAACTTTGACAAAGTTTATAGACAAAAATATTAACATATACAATAACAGATCGATATTGTTAGATACATTATTGAATATACTGTCACATCATAAAGATTTGCTATTGTAAATGTTCATAGCTAGTATCATGCATGCCAACTAGGCAATTTTGATAAGGTGTCATAGCATTAAATGAAGAAAGAGAGAGTGGAGTATCATATCATGATACCGTATCATAATAAATGCTATGTTGTTTTGTGTCATGCATGGCAATAAATAAAGTACTGCATGATACTAATATATGATACTATGCATTAGGGAGGTAGTATCATACACTAGTATCATATGCATGATACTAGTATATGATACTCCCCATTACAACCATCCTAAGCATTGGTTTTCTTGGTTTTGGTTCTGAGAGCTATATCTAAGCTTAAGACATACTCATGCTATTTTACACTTATGAGAAAGGCATTTAATGTTGTGCAATTTAATACTTATACGAGTTCTACTACGGAATTATCTGAATTTTGTTAGACACCTGATGCATCTGGACGGAGGGAGTAGAGCTTAAGATATGGAGTAGTGACCTGGACTGCCCTTGGGGAATTCAGTAAGGATGCAAGATTGGATGCATACATAGTGCTTGTCTCACTGAATATTATATGTGCAAAAATCTCCACATTGATGAATGTATATCTCGTGCACTTGCAATCTTTTGCTGTACATTAATGAAACATTTAAAATATATTTCCAACCTCTTGCTATTTATACTTGCAGTTCGTGTCTGCCACATTTCGAGTGCAACTATTTCCTACTCGAACCTTACACTCGACTAGAACTGAGTTTGTCAAGTAAGAGATAATCAATATGAGAGGGAGCAGTCTAGTGCAGGCGACGATAATATTCTTCATTGGATACCTTGTCGTGTGTGCACAGTGTAAGTACTATATATCATCTTCGTCATTACCACCTTGTGTTAACTTCTTGCCATTATATATATATATATGTGTGTGTGTATGTGTGTGTACTGCATACTAATGTTAAATATAATACATAGGTGGTCTCGATAATAAGCAAACGGCGGTCAACCAAGATGATTATGCGGCAAACACAAGTACCAACGCTACCATCGTCAACTCGACGTCTGTAGGCGAGAGCAAGATAACGGTCAAATTTTGCATCCGCAATTTCTTATGTGATTTCCCAGATGGGTACCATGGTACGTGCCACTGCTGCCAGAATAATCGCAAGTGTTTCAAGAAGCGGAGTCAGTGCCTGGACAACTGCCCTACCTGCAACCCTAAATGCCCACCTCTGTCGGGATCTCAGGGATAGAATTCCATACGCTCCAATAATTTGTTCGTCGGTAATAAAAGTCACCTTATTTGGTTTGAACAATCACGTCCCAAACAAACATTAGAGGATATCCAGCATGTTCCTATGGAGATTCAGCAAGGCAAACTTTCATGAAAAGAATCCCCAGTAATTTGTTGTCTTGCGTAATTACAAAAGTCAAATCCTTTGGCCATCGTGCTCCGGCGCGATTGTCTACTATGCTCACCCATTTCTCTTTGGGGATGATGAGGCTGGCTTCGGATGTTTCCACAACTTTCCTTGCACAGCACCCTCTTTGTTAGTCAGCTGTGGGCTGGCTGTCATGCAATTGTAATAGCGCGCGACGCTGAAAAGGACAAGAAAAAAAAATAAGATCGCACGAACACACGTGAGACCACAATGTGATTGATCAGTTTTGCACATGATTTTCTCAGCCTAGGGCAAGGTGGATTTGACTCCATCGGCAAATCATTCGCTGCTGCCTTGGGGTGCATCACTAACGACACTACCGCATGGCCGGAAGGATCCCCAAAGCTTGTCGTTGCTGGGTACATGGCAATTGTGGAAGGCGACTGATAGGCGCCGGCGCACCGGCCGAAACTTTCGGCCGGTCCAACGCGGGCCCTTGATTTGTTTAATGTATAACCGTCAGATCTTTCTTCTCCCCTCCCTAGTAGTCGTGTTCCTCACTGCCTCACCCCCGCACAACGCTACCTCCTCCCACACGGTCTTAGCGAAGACGACGCCCGAGCTCGCTGTGACGCGCCCGAGCTCCGCCCACTCGCCGGTTCCAGCTCCGATCCACCCCGTACTGGATGCCGATTTGCAACAGTTCTACACATCAGCTGACATAGACAAAAAAATAAGTTGGATTGCAACTTCGCTCCCGTTGGTCGCTGCCGTAGTTGACCTGCACCACCGTGCTTTAGCAAAACAAAATCTCGCTGCAAAAATTCAAATACATGGTTGAAGCAAAAAACGAAGCCGGTTCCAGCAAAATTAACACCGGTTCCAGCAAACAAATTTCAGCAACAAAAAGTCCAGTAATATGTTGAATCAAAAAATTAGCCGATTCCAACAAAATATGAAGCCAGTTCCAGCAGAAATTAACATCAGTTCCAGCAAATAAAATTTCAGCAACAAAATGTCCAGTAATCTGTTCAAGCAAAAGATTAGCCGATTCCAGCAAAAAAATACACCAGTTCCAGCAAAAAATACCTCGCTACAAAAGCACTAGTAGAGGCTTGTAGCCAAAAAAGATGGTTGAAGCATCCCTGGCCGCCGGTTGTAGCATCTGTCGCGGCTGGTTGTAGCTTCTGCCATCGCATGATCCAGCAAAATCCTCGATGTGCCACGACCCAGTCGCAGCATCTCTTGGCGTTGAATGTAGCACCCGTAGTGGCCGATTCCAACATCTTCACTGCTCGAAGCTCGCCGTATCACCCCCATTGCAGTCTTGCCAAGCCCCGCCGGAGGAGGAGGAAGCAGCCATGGCGGCGATGATGGTGAAATAGCAGTGACCTAACAGCGCCGATGTGCGGTGCTCACAACACCGCTGCGCAGGGCTCCCCAGCTAACATCTTTGCCTGAAAAATGCAGTCGCCGACCATGGTGGGCTGAGAGATCGATGTGGGATGGTGGCTGGTTGTTTGGAGAAGAAAGAGGAATAGACGAGAGAGGTGGAGAAAACAAAGGGATAAGGATTGAGTGGCGGAGAGAAGAAAGAAAAAGAAATAACGATACGTGGGAGGAGGACCTGTGACGTGTACGCATGCGTGGCAAGGGACCGGCGGAACGGTTCAGTCGGCGCCACGGCCAGAAACATTTCCCATTGTGGAAGCACCGCAATGCAGTTGTCTTTGACTGCACAACACCGTCTGCGTGAGTGGTATCATGAGCTATGTTGTTTGAATATAGCGATCATGTCGATCTAGAGGACAGTAAAAGATTCACGAGATGCGCTCGTCAGCAGCGGCACCTGTCAGAACTATTCGATTTCGGCGAGTTGCGAGATCGGAGCAATCATGCAAGCAGGGGACGTGCGGCGATTGGTCGGTGGATCGATCGGGCGAGCGTACAGGCAGTGTGCTGTGATAGATCAGGCGAACGTTTTCTATTTTTGAGACACGATCAGGCGAACATAGCAATGACGCAATGTAGCGTGAGCAGGGTGTGTTAGTGGGCTCAAGGCCCAGGCGTGCGGAAGGACCGGCAGGCCTAAGACTAGCCACAATGGGTAGTAACATAGACTACTAACATGCTTATGTTACTACTCTATGTTATTACCTCTATAGTGGGGAGCAATATATGTGGGGTAACTTGTAACGCTTCATTTATTAGTCTATAGACACATCTTGCCTTGATATGTGTGATGTTACTCAGATGGTGTTTGTTTGTCTAGTCCTAGGACTTTTTCTAGTCCCTGGGACTTTTTGAAAAAGACTCTCAGGGAGGTGCTTCTAAGGACTTTTAGCAAAAAGTCCCAAAAAAGTCCCATCCGGTTTGGTTTGCTAGGGACATTTCTAGTCCCTACACCAAAAAGTCCCTGGAAACAAACACTCCCTCATACTACTAGTAACTAACTATGTTACCACTTTCCTTCTTTTCTTCATTTATTGCTTGCCATATCATCCCATTTCACTAGATATGTGTGATGTTACCAAAATTGCATAGGAGCTCTCGGGTGCTACGCCCCCCTATATTCAAAAATAATTTAGTAATTCCAATAAAACATCTTGGAACTTTTTATGGAATCAAGCATGACCAAGTATTGCACTCGTATAAAAATATTAAACAAGGAATTACTTTTATTGTATCAGGGTCAAAGATTTTCAAAAAATGCTAGATATAAGTACTATTCATGTTATATTGTCATCATAAATTTGGTTTTCTTGCCCTGAAGTCAATGAGAATCATTCCTTGGCCAAACTTTTTATATGAGCACAATATCTAGCCATATTTGTTTCAAAAATATATCCAGGATTTTTTTGACTTTTTTTTGAATTACTAAATTATTTTTGAATATAGGGAGGTGGAGCACCCGAATGCTCTTAATCCGCTTCCGTGATGTTACTATCTATATTATTCTCACTATGGGTCGTCTAAACCAAGGGCGGCAGCTAGCGCGACACTTGGCTGGACGTGAGGCTGCGGAAGCTGCGAGCTCGTGCATCGTATGTGAGATTTGTCTAAAAAAATAAGATTTGTTCTGGAAAAAAAATACGAGGTCTCCAAGTATGGCACGGAAGGTAGGCAGGCATATCAATCGGCGGAAGGAACATCTAAGGCACGTATTCATTGGAAACCAAGGTCTTTGGCAAAGCTAAGATAAGCATCGAAGCTGAAGCCAAGGAAGAGCAAGTTCACGTGAAGACCAACCAGTTGATTTATTACTAGCAAAAATGCCCGTACGTTGCAACGGGAGAAATAATTCTCACATGCCCCTAGTGATCCATCCATGTTGCCACTTCTCTTCGCCACCATCACTGATGGTGCTAGGCAACCTAGGGCGCATGGACAGAGGCTAGAGAGACTTGCCCCTGGCCTGACACTACGGCAGGCGCCTTAGTCCCGTGCCTAGCAATGCCGAGGCGATGCCTTCTGGAGAAGGAGCGGATTGATCCGGAAGAAGGGAGAGGGGGGCTGGGCGGCATGTTTTTTTAACGCGTAAATAAAGAAATAACAAAAAGTGAAAAAGAACAAATATATACTATATATATCATGTTTCTACTATACGAAAACTAATGTTCAAGCAACTTATCTGTATCAATGGTACTACTATTGTTAGAACTTAAAAGTTTAAAACATGTCTTTACAGTATAAAAGTTTCAACACTCACCTCGTTTACTGGGGAGCAATTGCTGACACGTTGTATTCTGGTTGCAAATTGATTACTGGAAAGTACCTAGAAGTCTAAAGAGGAGCAAGGCGTGGAAAGTATCCCTGAATGTCATCATATATAAGATTATAGCATTAATTAAGGACCATCTTAACATACAGGGAGTGAGTGTTGATCCGACTTGATTTGAGGGAGCCACGGCCCAACACTTACATGAAGTCCCAAAAATGAAAAACAATGTGTCCCTGAAACATCACAGAAAACCAGCGACACAGCATCCATACAATAAAAGTTCGCCTCGATCTTTCAGGTAACAAGCTAGCTAGGTGATGGTAATAATTAATTCATACACACACGCATTATATATCTAGATCTCCTAATACAGTTTGCTACATAGTTGCAAATAATTCAGTACATAGCAAGATAGGTACTCCGTACAAGCCTGCTGGAGAGTACCTAAAACTGGAAGAATAAAAGGAGCAAGGATGTCCGCACATGTTCCCTAAGCAGCGCCTCCACCTTACGGCCAGCAAAGAATAATTCCTGGTCTTCTCGGTCTTTCACTTGCCGTCTCCTTCTTCCTCAAGCTCACACCTGCATCCATTTTATCTATCAATTTTTAAAGAATGGAATGCCCGCTTTATACATCAATTTACAGACAATGGAAAGATGCTACCCGCAAGAACTCTTCCACAACATAGCCATAAGTTATGGTCCCTATCTTTCTACAGGAGAAATCTGTTGGATATCTGTTCACAAAGCAAGTATAGAACCTCAGTTACCTGCAAAATAAGACCCCCTCCAGTAGGAAGTGAAACTGTGAAAGCAAAGACAATACTCTTACTTGTTATTTAAAAATGACAGTATTTCAAGTGCTGCACCAGCTTCAAATTGATTAGAGAGTGATTATGCAGCAGCACTTGTTCCAGCATGCTCACGACCATCGGCAATATCAAAGAACATGTATGGACCAAGACAACGGTGATCATGGAAAGGATCTGATTTCTCAGCCTTCTGAGCACCATCCAGCAGTTTGTTTTCATAGAAATGCAACGACGGGAATCTGCTAATGTAAGGATGCATTCGATCCTGCAGACAATACAAAATAATTGAGAAATTAGCATACGGCCTGCAGTTGATAGCTCTTCTCAGTTCTCACATA